TATGATTCTTTGGGGGTTGAGATCCTGACGGTGGATGGAAGGGATTAGCTGTTTGAGGGTCTTCCAGGAAACCATCGAGAGAGATGACCCTGAGTCGACTTCCATCACGCAAGGTTGGTTGTCGATGGTGACCCTTACTCGGATCTTTCTTGCATCTAAGGATGAAGCGTGGCCGATGGTAATGGTTTGGTGTGCCTCTTCTCGTCTCGTTGAAGTGGCAGGTGCTTTATTTCTGTAGGAGTGGTTGTTCCATTGGTGGTTCAGGCGATCCCGACTCACAGGAAGATTTCCTGTGGTCTGGCGGTAGTTATTCTCCCTCTGGATTGGACTGGGTCCTTGCTTGCTTCTACAGACCTTTGCGATGTGGCCTCTTTTTCCACAGGAACGGCAGAGTGCGTCGAGGAATTTGCAATCTGATCGCGGGTGGTTTGCCCCGCAACCAGCGCATTGGCGTGGGACTCTTTGGTTTCGTTGTTCTTGTTGGTCGCGTTCGGCCCGGAGCCGGTTGACCTCTTCCTCGTCACTATCTAATGGGGATTCGAGGTCCTCATGGTGTGCCGTCATTGAGTGCCTCTCTGGACGATGCGAGGTATCATTCGCGAGTTTACGGAGCGGTGCATTGGTGCGGCGCATTCAAGCGGCCGACTTCCTGGTTGCTTCTGCTGCAGTAGCGTCTGTGATGGCATTGGCAAGATCGATGTCCCCTTTTTCCATGATCTTGCTCTGCACCGTGTCGTCATCTAATCCCAGAACTATGCGGTCTCGCAAGGCTTCCTCGAGGTTTGAAAACCCACAGAGGCCACCCAGGTTCCGGAGGTCAGCGATGAAATCTGCAATGCTCTCGCCTTTCCGTTGGTCCCTCTGGTAAAACTCGTGTCTTTGAACCAGTGTTGGCACGGCGGGTGCATAGTGGGCTCGTAGGATGGGTGCGAGGGTGTCCCAATCCATTTACTTCACCTCAGCCGGTTTGGCAAGTGCTTTCGCCATCTTAAACACGGCAGGCCCACAATGGGTTAGAAATACTGCTCGCTTCTTGCCAGTCGTAGCGTCCTTTAAGTTGTTGATCTCCAGAAACATCTGGAACCGATCCATATACGAGTCCTAGTCTTCGTTAGCCGGGTCAAATGGAGCGGGTGGTATGGCACCGCTGGACATCTTGCCGTTATAGGTGCTTCTTCAGCCATCTGCTCTGTTCGTTGCTCTGTAGTGTTCAGTCAGCTCTGATGTCTCCGCATCCCATCCTCGTCGCCAGTGTTAAGTTCTGGGCATGGGCGCAAGGAACGGAGACGAGGCTATGAACAGTGAACTTCAACTCTTTATTATCGATCAGGAACAGAGCAAAACTCTGGGCAGCAGCAGCTCTTTTATAGGGCTGGCTGCTGTCCCATTAACCAATGCCTTATGTTAAAACATTTAAATTGTACCCAATGAGAGACGTTCCGCTAATAGCCAATCAGGTTGCTCCGTAAGGACCAATCCCAGCTCGCTATCTACGGACCAATCAAAAGTGCAGGATTACGAGCCTGCTTTTCTATCAAGGTTGTTAAGCTTTATTAAAATATGTTTATGTTAGTTCATAACATCTTTCATCTCTTCTTTTCCATGAACCTTCTATTCTCCCTTCAAACACAGTCAAATCTTTTAATACATCCAAACCCATTCTTCCCTAATTCTTCAAACATTTTTGGTAATATTTCTGGAGTGATCCTCTTTTCTTCTGCTTGTTCTAACTATCCTCTCCTTCATACTACAAATTTTACTGATTTTACTGATTTCTGCTTGTTCTAACTTTTTACTGATTTTATTGATTTTCTAGTAGAAGCCATTTAATTCATTTTTTAAAAAAAATCCAGAAACAGAAAATGAGCCAAGTACAAAAGAAAAAGAGCAGCTTTTCTCTGGTGTTTTCCATCTTTTTGGCTATTTCTCTATGTCCTTAAGTCTTTGGTGTTTTCTGTAGTTTTATAGTCATATGGTCACTTTCTCTCTCTCCCTCCCTCCCTCCCTCCCTCCCTCCGTCCCTCTCTTTTTCTCAATTTTCCTTTGTTTTGCATTATTGCATTTTCCTTGTCATTATTTTGCAAATTCCACTAACTCTCTCTTTGCTAAAACTCTAAACTATCTGCATTCTCACTAAGATATTTACTATTTATTCAAATATTTCACAAATAATTTAGTATTTAGTATTCTTGAAATAGAAATTGGTGACAATATAGCAACAGTGAGTCTTCTGGAAAGATTCCCCTCTTTCTAGATGCTTTCTGGATGCTTTCTGGAAAGTTAAAGGGTGTTCCATTGGGTAAGGGCTACCATGGAAAAGGCAAGGTTTCTAGGTCTCCTAAGATGGCAATATTTAAAGGAAGATTTAAACTTAATAACTAGTAATGTCATGACCCTGATTTCAGATTCAAATCTGAAGAAGTTGCTTCAGCTGACCCTTTGAAATATTGATCTCAGGAGACACCAAGACAAGATTCAGATAAGGCTGAACAAACAGGGATTTCTTGGGCAGCTGAAGAAGTCAGATATTGATGTAAGGCCTCCAAATTCCTATGCCAAGCAAATATCATTCCATGGAATTTCTTCTCCAGCCAAGGAGTAAATCTGTGACAACTGGCTACATCCTGATTTAAGGAGCAGCTGAGATCATGTTCCCTTTGCTGGAAACAATGCCTAAGCCTTGGTTCTATTGTGATGTTCTTGTGAATTTCGTTCATGTAAGAAATCTTGAACCTCTGACAATTGGACTGGCTGACAACTTTAATCTGATACTTGGAACCCTGGATTGGATTTGGACTATTCTTCTGCATGCTCATATTAAAATATGAACACTTCAGGCAAGCTTCTAGTTCATTAATAATCTTTTTTCACTGTGTATCACTTCAAGCTTGAAATAAATTTGCTAAATAGTATCGCTACAGCAATCATATTTGAATATGAAATGAATTTATATTCTTTTCTTTAACTGCCCTCTCCTTCTTTCTACATTTTTATTTTATTTTCTAGCAATAGCTATTTCATTCATTTGTTATCCAGAAGGAAAATGATTCAAGTAAAGGGAGGCTTTTCTCAGGTCTCTCCCCCTCCTGCCCCGCTTTGGCTATTTTTCTAGGTCCTTAACACTTTGGTACTTTCTGACACTCTGTAATTTTATAATCATATGTTCTCTCTCAAGTTTTCTCTCTTTTGCATTACTGCATTTTCCTTGTCGTTATTTAGCAAAGTCCACCAATTCTGTCTTCACTACGCAATCTAAGCATCTCTTTAAAGATACTTATGGTTTATTTAGTTCAGTGTTTCTCAACCTTGGCAACTTGAAGGTGAGTGGAATACTGAGAGTTGAAGTCTGCACATCTTCAAGCTCTAAAGTTTGAGAAGCACTGGTTTAGGCTTTTTAAAGAAACGATTTGTAAAAATAGTATTTCAGATGTGACTGTACTTTTAATTCATTTAAAACTTATATCACATTCCTGTCAAGCTTTTTGCAGGTGACTTTAAATTCTTAAAATTGTTATTTGTTTTCTTTAATCCAGGATGAAGGCTCACACATCAACTGTTTTGCTCTTTTGGAAATCCCTTTTATCTTTAAAATAATTTTGATCCAAATGTGCTTAAGAAAATAAGATTTTATGTGAGCCCAATGTTCTTAGAGGTTTCATTGTATTACTTTGGTTTTTTGAGTTCCTCTGGGGTGGTTCTAATCAGTGTTGATGGGAGGAGAGATCTACCCACCTCCAGCTCCTGATTGCAGGTTGCTTCAGTGCTCCATACCTTTCCCACTTCTGTTTAATATTAACACGAAGACACTGGGTATGGTTGAAAGAATTTCATTTGATTATGAAAATAACTGCATTACCTGTAGAGTTGTAATTGCAGGAATGTTAATATCTTGATGGCAAACCTCAGGTAATGAAGGTTCCAAAGCAAATACAACTCAGGCAAAGTCATTAATGTAAAGGAGGATTAGAGAGAGGAAGTAAACATATGTTAGACTTTAACTAGAGATAATTAATTGTGTTAATTACTATGCTAAACAGTAATGAAAGTTAAGTAATAACCAAAGTTAACCAATGTTAGAGGATTACTAAAAATGTGTATAAATGCAAGACTAGACTCCAATAAAGTTCATCATGATTCATTTGATCATGATCAAACACCTCGACTGCCTCATCATTACAACAATTGCCGATGGCATTAAGACTGATTATTGTCCATTCCCAGTGAGTATGATAAAAGCCATTTATTCAGTGTGATCCTATATGAATTCTATTTTGATCAAAAATGAGATTAGATAGTAAAAGCAGAGGTGGCTTTGGACTCCCAACATGGGAAACCTACTACAAAGCAGCATCTTTAGTATGGATTAAAGATTGGATTAAATTAGAAAACAAGAGAAGCTTAATATTAGAAGGACATGATATGCAAATAGGGTGGCATGCCTTCCTATGGGACCCCAGGAATAAGAATCACTCCTACTTTTATAGACATGTCTTGCGAGATTCACTGATAAATACTTGGGAGGAAATCAGGAAGAAACACTACACCAAAATTCCAGGCTGGCTGTAGGCAATGATCCACCCAACTATTTTGGATATCAGTAAAAAACTTAAATATTATCAACTTTTGGATAATCAAGGAAGACTCAAAACAACTCAAGAATTAGAAACACAAGGAATATTTATAGATAGGTGGCCATACCTTCAAGTGCAGATGAGATATAAAAAAGATTTAGAAGAATTCAGATTTGAAACAAAAACAACCCAACTAGATAAAATATTGTTAGGACCAGAAGAAAAAAATAATATCTAAAATATACAAATATTTGCTAAATTTTGATTTAGAAGGCAAATTGGAAAAAAAAATCTTTAAGCAAAATAAATTCTCTAGATACACTTTAAGATCTATAGCATGGGGATCTCGCCTCATTTTGTGGTACACTAGTTTCATAGGCAGTAACTTATTGACTATGTATCTCTATTTGTATTCCTCTGTAGAAATTCAGTGTCCCACTCCAGAAGTGAGGAATGGCCACATTGAACCTAGGCAATCTCAATACGTGTACAACAATGAAATTGAGATAACCTGTTGTAAACAGGTTATATTTCTAGTGATCCAAAGAAAGTACATTTTGAAATGTACTGCTAATGGCTGGGATCCCTCCCCTGACTGTCATGGTAAGCAGTTTCTTCGGTTTTAGTTTCTTTCTAAAGCAGAAATTCCTTTATTGTTTCTGAATGATATACCTATGTTATGGTGGATGAGATGAGATAATGGTGGCAGGATACTAGTTTGTTATAACTAGCTGTAGTAATGATAACATTTCCATAATTTTTCTTCTTAGAAATAGTCCCAAGGTCTTTTATAATAGTTACAAAATTGTTGCACAAAAAGGAAAAAAACATAGCTAAAGCAGATTAAATAATAATGAACTCATTCCATAGTATGAGGTTATATTATAGAAGATTTGCTCCATGCTATCACTAACTGTAATCCATAAGCCAGAGCACAGGAGAGTTCATTGACTTTCTTTGCATCTTCTGGCCACTCAGACTTACAAGTCAACTGCAAGGATCTTAAAGTCCTGCAGTCTACTCACAAGGAAACATCTTCCAGAGCATAGTGGGAGATTTCTTGGCCTTTCTTTATCCAAGAAGGCTCTGCTGGCTAAGGCATGTCCTTCAATCACCACAATATCATCTCCACAATATATCTTCAGAGACATTGTAGTCTACCATTGTTCATACTTGAAAGTCACATGTATTCTTAAATTGTAAATTCTACAGGGACATCAAATCTGTTTATATTCTGCTTCTAATAAGTATTTGGGGGGTTCCAAGGGGAAGTTCTTCAACAAACTATGACCGGGTTGGTCATAAAACCTGAAGGAAAGCCAGTCCCTTCAGTTAAGCCTACAATCCAGGGAAAAATCCTTCAGAGATCTCTCCCCAGGTCTTTAGTTCCCAGAAGAGGTGGAGTCTGAAGCATTTTTAAGTTCAGAAAATCAAGATAACACTTTGAAGGCTCTCAGGACTTTTTCCTATTTACTGAATGAAGGAGGATGAATATAGGACAATCAGATGTGTGAAATATTGTTATTATAACAAATTTCAGTGAAGGTAGTCTTAAGCTTCCTTAGCCCACCCATCTTAAGAGCCATGGTGAGGTGGTTGTAAGAATGAAGTATTGCAGGCTAATTCTGCTGATTGCGGATTGCCAGCAGTTCGGCTCTTTGAATTTCACCAGTTTAAGGTTGACTCAGCCTTCCATCCTTCCAAGGTCAGTAAATTGACTATTGTTGGGAACAATATTCTGATTCTATAAACTACTTAGAGATCTCTGTAAAGCACTGTGAAGTGTTATGTAAATAGAAGTGCTCTTGCTATTGCTATCTTGTGAAGCTGACAGAAGTGAAACACAATAGACAGAGAAAGGTCCCACAAGTTGTGTTACTTGGAAATTGAAAAAAAATCATAAAACAAAATAAATTCATCTATCCACTTCCAGGTTTATAGCATGAGGATCTCTTCTCATTTTGCAATTCATTAGTTTCATAGGCAGTGACTTATTGACCACGAATTCCTATTCATATTCCTCTGTAGAAATTCAGTGTTTCCCTCCAGAAGTGAGGAATGGCTGCATTCAACCTAGCCAATCTCTATACAGGTACAGCGATGAAATTGAGATAACCTGTTATAGAGTGCCTTTCTTTATAAGACACCAAAAAAATGGTTTCTAAATGTACTGCTAATGGTTGGGATCCCACTCCTTCCTGTTAAGGTAAGCAGTGAGGTTTTTTTTTAAGTTTCCTTGTTTCTTTCTAGAGCAGAAATTGCTTTATTGTTAATGAATGATAAATCACTTTATTGACAAAGAATGATTATTTATGAAATAATAATGGTGGCAGGAGACTAGTTTTTTTTTTATAACTAGCAGTAGTAAAGAAGCCACATCCTGTCATAGTCAGAGAAGGCAATCCAGTGCTACAAAAGCAACTTTACAACTTTTATTGTTTTGTTTTCTGAACTAAAAGCTTAACACATAACACATTCACACAGGGACACGTACTTGCCCAACTCAGGATCTGAACCTGACATACAGGCAGAAGCATACAGATGTGCTAGGGAAGCAGTGAACTGTCCTTGCACCATGTACACAGGCTGCATGGATTTGCCCAAAACCCACCCTGTTGTTTAGTATCTAGTGATTGATCCTTCTGTGCCTTCCTTAGCTACAAATCAAAAATGATGAGGAGGGACAGGGAGGTAAAAGTAACTGCCACACATTACCTGCTCACACCAGGTGAAATTGTTGCACTTTTCAGTGGTATGTTGATCCTTGGCAATGCAGAGTTTGGTGGCTCAGGTATTCCAAAAATTGCCCTTTTCAGGTACGTAAGCATCCCTATGCCAACTCTGATATGTGCTTGATAAAGCAAGCTATAGTTTGGCTTTACAGGGAACTTTTCCTTCTAAAGTTGGTTGGGCAGCCCAAAGTGAAAAGGCTGTGGAAGATAGGTCTCACCCATCTCAGCTCTGCAAAGGCAAAAACATTGTGATACGTCACAATATGTCACATGATGCAATCAAGTTTGATACCCATGTTCTAAATGAACTATTTTCTTTGCTTCAAGAGAAACAGAAAATGTTGATGAGCCTATAGGAACATGTGCAGTGTTATTTGCTAACACCTGATCAGATCTACTTTTTAAAACGATTGCAACAATAAGAGCAGAAACATAACTTGAGGAACTTTGATTAGGTGAGGAATGAAAGGAATTTAATTGTAATACAGGGCATAAGCCTGAACACCAAAAAAGGTTGAAGGCAAATGGCTTCAGGAATGAAATGAATTGTTTTATTTAATTATTATTGAAATACTATTGAAATCTTTTTTTCCCTCAGAAACTGTCAGTGGTGATTTGATAGTTGAGAAATTAAACGGAGGTGTGGGTATGTTAGCAATTCTGATGCCAAAATAATTTTGTATAAAAATTGAGCATTGAAAAAAAAATCTTAAAGAAACAAGGAGAAACAACCGAATAACAAATAAATTAGCCAAAAGGTGGCCCAGTAGTTGAGCTTTGGCAATACTTTCCTAAAATGCTTCATGTTTCCTGCTTAACCATCACTGAGCACAAACTCTGTAACTCATGAGGAGTTCACAGGTCTTCTCAAAAACAAAGAATTCTGAAGTCAGGAGCTACCTTGTCATACTAAACCACAATTAGATATGACATCTGATACTATGGCAATATCATTATCTGAATAAGAATCATTTAGAAAAAGATATTTTGGAATTTTGTTGGAGGGTATTTTTTGTGTGTTCTGCTTAGATTTGTATCCTGCTTCAATATCCAGCTATTGAATCAAGGTTACCTAACATGTTTCATAGAAAAAAGGGGAATGTAAACCTTTTTAATCCTAGTCCATAGATGTCCTCCAAATGGCTGGCAATTTTAGAAGGGTTTCTGCAGAAAGGGAAAGAATCTGTGCTATCATGTGCATGTCATTATGCAAACTTTTATGCAAACAATTTATTTCATCTGTACAATATCCTCCTGACATATGTGACATAAGTTGTGGTTTATGTCAGTTATGTTTTGGTATTGCATTAATCAATTTTGTGGCTTGATGATGTCTGGTTGGGGCTAGAGGAAAAATTTTGACAGGAAAAAATAAACAAAACTCTAGAGAAAGGTCAACTTCTGTATAAACTAGAAATTATGAAATTGAAAAGTTGAAAATCTCCTCAAAGATACTAGTGAGGTTTTACAATCTCATTAGACATCATGAGATACTTTTAAAAATGATATCTTATGAAGCTGCCTGAGGTATCTACTGTATAAAGCTGAATTTATTCATTGGATCTCCCTAACTTTTACAATGACTTTGAAGCAACTCAGCAGCATCCAGAAAATGGACATATAAATCCTAATACATTCCTGGCTAGATATTCTACCACTTACAATCAAAATCTGAATCAAATCATCTTCTCTTTCAAGGTTCCTGGAGTTTTCTTGAGAGGTTACTGGGAAGATGGGAGCCCTTCTTCCAATCTGCAGCCAAGTGCCACTTTTTGTCTTAAAACACTTCTTTTCCCTGTCTAGCTAGAAATGAAGAGAAATTCAGTATGAGACCAAAGTCATATCTACTGGATTGTGAATTATATTTCAGGGTTGCAAACTTCTATCCAATCTATAGTAATGGTGTTAAATAGCATTTCTTTACCTATGTAATGATAGCCTTGTATCTGAAACAGCATATGTTTCCAGATCTTAAGCTGAGAATTAGAAAGAGAAATAAAGATGGAAAGAAAAAAGATATAGGGCAAAGGATGCACAAATGTTGCTGATGAGACAATCAAAATTTTTTTTAGTAGAAAGATACATTTCTTAAAATATTAGTGGATGAAAGCATTTTCTTTTATGGCCAAAGCAATATAAGTTATTCCTCAGCTTATGCAATTTTTGCAGTTTCTTGAATAACAAGGGAAGAAGATTTGAGGCACAACATTATTAATAGCTGAGGTGGAAGGAATGGGATAAAATACATTGGGAAAATGGAAATACAGTTGAATTTCTGTGTAAAAGAAGCTATCAGCCACACCCATATTCCAGACCATTTAAACTTACTTGCATAAATGGAAAAATGAACTATCTGTATGTCATTAATATATGTATACATTTCCCTTCTCTCCTTGTTTTCTTCTCACCTTTTATTACCAGCATGCAGATGAAATATTCTGATTTTCAGTCATCTTATAGTTTCATCACTGCCACAGTTGCCTTTCTTTATCCCATTTTGGATAGAATCACTTTTTTAGAAAGCTGGATTGTTATGCCCAAATTAACTCAGTCTTTTAAAAATAAATTTGATATAAGATTATTTCACCAATACGGCTCATAAAGGAAAGGAAGGTGAGTTCTTCTCAATCATCTTAAGCCAAAAGGTCTCATTCAGATAATGGAGAGGGAGAAAGACTAGATGAACTCACACAATTTATATATATTTTAAGGGTATACATGGGTTATAAATATTTAACAAACCCAGAGATTTCGCTGAATAAAATGAAATCCTAAACCAACCTTACTTTCTGCAATTGTTCTACACCAGGGAAATCCTTAGGGATCCCATGATTTAAATCACTTTCCTTTCATTCAGAACAACAGAGGGAAAGGATCTATGATTGTGGTAAGTGGTGTACTTAAAAACAATGAAGATTGGGTCAGATTCAAACAGCTGCCCTAATTTCATCTCTTCTTGAATCCTGGCAGATTCCTCTCTTCTGGGGATGAAGTAAGTAGGAACCGTAATTTATTGTCAGGGGGATATTCTCACTGATTTCAATTACCCCAGTGCAGCAAGTTTGTTCTGAATCAGTCTGAATTTGTCAACATAAAATTTCTGGGTTGAATCCAATAGTCCATTGCAAGCAAAGACATTTCATTTAGTAATGAATCGTCCAACTTATCCAATAGATTTCTGATAGGATCTACTCTGTGGAAAAGTACATTTGGATTCAGCGAAGTTCTCCTACTCATCTTAAATGTTATGATTCTGGTCTACTCTACCTGCCAGAATTTAGATCTAATTTTTTTTTTAAAAAAATCATGATTAGTCTCAATATTTCTAAAATGCTTAAACTTTTATTGTTATCAACAGTGATTTTATAGAGGAAGAAAAGAAGAATTGCTTAATGTCAGGATGCTCTACAATCTACTCTAGAATGAGCCTCCATTTTGGCCATTTGATTTAATGTACAGAGATACACTAATAATGTCTGATATTTCATCCATATTGCCTATGTGTGAAATCAGTTTAATATTGTAAAATTATCTAGGGTGTATTCTGCCACAGAGGAAGAGATGTAAGAAATAGTTCCTTAAAACATAACTTTTAAACTCACATTTTATTTTGTAGGTTGCAAATAATGAATGATGGCAGCCCTTTTTTACCAGTGTGCGGATGTCAGTAATCACGAATAATTTTCTTTAATAACCCTGCATAAAACTTCACTGTGTTTCTTCTGGAAAATATACGAACTCTGGATTGTCTGCCAACTATCATAATGGATCTTGAAGATAAAAGCCTATTTTCTAAAAGCTACATTTTAGTACTTGGTATTATTGATAATTTTGATAAAACGATAATGCAGTTTTCAACAAATATATAGGCCGTCTTTAAGTATTATAAGATGTGATACACATTTTTCAAAACGTACCAGAAGTCAATAATGTACACATTTTAGCCAAAACATTTGATTAATGAAAATCGCCAATAATCTCTTCTTAAAGCAGTGACAATAGAATATTGAAAATGATATTTTAGCATGAAGTGTTGAGTTTATTAAATGAATAAAATTCATCTGTAAAAATGATTTTCATTTTTTATTTTCTAAAAAATGTAAATTTTCACAGATGTCAACTCAGATGAATAGATGTCCTGATGCTGATTGAGCTCAATGGGTTCATCAAGAGGGTTGGACTTGAAGACCTCCAAGGTCCCTTCCAACTCTGTTATTCTAAGGCTTATGCCTACAAAGCTCTTTCACAGCACTTTTATTCACAGGGAGCATTCATTGTCATGTGTGTTGATTTAAATTTAAATAAAGATAAAGGTTTTCCTGTCAATCGTGTCTGACTCACAGGCACCATGCTCATCTCCGTTTCTTGGCTGAGGGAGGCAGCACTGTCTGAAGATAATTTTCATGGTCAGCATGGGTATAGGCCAAAAGGAATACATGGAATACTATTACTTTCCCACCGAAGTGGTACCTATTAATCTACTTACATTTGCAGACTTTTGAACTGCTACGTGGGCAGGAGCAAGTACTGACAGCTCACCCCATTGTACAAAGCTCGTGTCTTGAATCTGGGCTGTCTGTCTGTCTGTCTATCTATCTATCTATCTATCTATCTATCTATCTATCTATCTATCTA